CCAAGCAGCGGCGCAGGCCAGGGGCGCGGGCCTCGGAAGCTCGGAGCCTCGCTGTCACCGCCTGGGGGGCAGACGAGGCAGAGCCGGATTGCCCAGGGCCTCCAGCCCTCCCCCAACCCTGCCGCGGGGCAGCCTGAGAGCCCTCCCCGGCCACCAGATCACTCACCCAGATGGAGGCTTTTGTGGCCCTCGGTTCCCGCGCTCAGCGCCTCCCGCTCCACCTCCGCCCGGGGGCGGGGCAACCCTGCTGGGGTCGGGGGCCCATCAGCTGCCAGCCCTGGCACCCGCGGGTGAGGGGCTCACACGAATGAGAGACAGGGATGGGCACCCTACCGGGCGACGAGGTGCCCCTTGGGAAGCGTTGGAGGCAAAGGTGCTCACAGGGAAGGGTGGGAGGCAGGCCCCAGAGGAGAGGGGTCCTCACCCAGAGAGACCACCGTGCCGTACTTCTCCAGCATGGCGTCCCAGTACAGCTCCTTCTGTGAGGGGTCCAGGAGCCCCCACTCCTCCTGCAAAGATGTGGAGACTCACTCACAGGAAGCTGGTCTAGCCCACAGCCCACCTACCGGTCTGTCTGTGGTCACATCACTGCTAATCACCACTGGGGTAGTAGGTTTCCTAAACCTCACCTGCCCAGGGTCAGGGAGGGTGCTGCCAGCACCAGTCCCCCTCAGCTGCCTCACCCCACTTTCTGGCCGCACAGATTGGAGCTGAGAGCCCCTGGATGGGCCTCGAACAGTGTGTGCTGCACTGGGAGCAAAAGGCCAGGGACTGGCAGGGACCCCAGCTACCTCTTCCAGGCCTCTGGTTAAAAGAGGAACAGAATGCCTCCCTAGGGAACTGGCGCTGGCCTCGGCATCCCTGGAGGTTGGACCCGCCTGCAGGTGGGAGATGAGGCAGAGAGTAGGTGCAGCCTCACACCTTGGTACACAGGGGATGGGGAGGCCAGCTCCCAGATGCCAGAAGTCGAAGCACAAGCCTTGCAGGCTTTACCAGAGGATGTGCTCCCTGCTCGTGAGGTCTGCTGGGTTGGAAAAAAGAATCCACTGTGTCCCGGGCAGGGAGGCAGCAGCCACAGGAGCCAGAGTGTGGCTCTGCAGCTGGAAGACAGAAGGCTTGGGGGTGTGGCCCTCCCACCCCCCAGTTTCCGATTGTGCCTTCTGGCTGTCGCTGAATCCTGTGGGACTTCTCAGTGTGGAGCACGTTAGGAGCAGTGCCGCTGGGACAGGACAGAACCCTGCTGCTCACACCTAGGAGCCAAGCACTCTTGAGTGGAAGGGGCTGGTATGACCAGCTGGCCACAGCTCAGGACTGCTGGGGGCTGTCAACCCCCGACTGACTTCTCTGTAAGTGGGAAGCTACCCACTGTCAGTTCCAGTTACTCTAAACCACATTCCCAATCGCCTAAGGCCAAAATCCTTTGCAAGCATTGGTCTGTCCTTCTATCCTTCCTGCACCAGTAGGGGAGCCCTGATATCAACTCCACTTCTGGGCAGCAAAGAGCACAAGAAGTGCTGGCCAAGGAGACGTGACAACCAGCAGAGGGGGCCACCAAGAACACCCTCCTCCCATTGTGGGCCTGCACCTGCCATCAGGGGCTGCTCACCTGAATCCTGGGTGGGTGAAAGGGTGCAGAGGCCAGTTCCTGTTGTTCAGGGTATCCCTCGCGGGTCTGGGCTGGATTTGGGGAGCAGGAGAGTGCTAGGAAGTGAGGCAGACAGGGGTCAGGGACTGCCCATGTGAGCCAGGGCAGGCGAGGAGCTGGTGTTGGTGCTGAAGCCTGGGCCCTCCCTGGCCAGCAATGAGGAGTCCTCTGGGTCACACAGCAGACAGGCAGGCAGCCAGCCTTCCCTCCGGCCACCCGGGAACCAAGCTTGGCAGTCTTCGATCCCCCGTGGGTCCCCCTCCCAGCTGTGGGCACGCACACTCCCTCCAGGAGCTCCCACTCTCACCCATCTCCTGCCCATAGCCATCAGGCTCCTCCTTCACGCTGCAGCTGAGCTGGGAAGTCTCCTCCATCTGGGCATCCTCTGACCCCTCCCTAGAGGCTGCCCTAAGAGGCTCCACTGTTCCTGAAGGGGGGTTGCTCCCCACAGACTCATCTGTCTTCTGTGCTGCCGGGACCTCCCCTTGCTTCAGAACATGTGCTGTAATCTGAGAGGGAGAGGCAAGTCAACGGGGTTTGAGTCTCGCCCTGTCTCTCCAAGAACCCAACACAAGCACTCACCCAGCCCAGCAGCTGCCCAGGGTCATGCTGCAGCCCCTCGACCAGGGCAGCAGCCTCTTCAGGGCTGTTTGGCCGCTGGCCCCGCACCCAGGCCTGGATCTCAGGTGGCAGCGCGCCCAGGAACTGCTCCAGCACCAGCAGCTCCAGCATCTGCTCCTTGGAGTGCACCTCGGGCCGCAGCCACTGGTGGCACAGCTCCCGCAGCTGGGCCAGGGCCTCACTAGGACCAGCCACCTCCTGGTAGCAGAAGCCCCTGAACCGCTGGCGTGCTGCTTCAGGCTCCTCCAGGGTGGCCGCAGGGTCAACAGAGGGCAGGCGTGGGGGGCCCAGTGGGGACGGCATCGTTGTGCCCAGATTCTTCTTGGAGCCACTAAAGGGTCCTGCAGGAAAAGAGGGGTCAGGGTGCCAGCCACAGGCCACAGCCCAGGGAGCTGAGGCCACAACACACACAGAGGATGTGTGAGGCTGAGGTGGGGAAAGCTTCATGGAGGGTGGATCACAGGAGCTGCAACTGAGAACAGAAGGAAGATTGTGGGGGGAGGGTATAGTTCAAGTGGTAGAGCCCATGCTTAGCATAGCTTAGCATGCTATGAGGTTCTGGGTTCAATCCCCAATACCTCCTCCAAAAAATAAATAAACCTAATTAACTCCCCCCTCCAAAAAAAAAAAAAAAGGAGGAAGCCTGTGAACCAACGCTTGGAGGCAAGTTGTCTGATGAAGTTTCCAGGAAACAGCAGGGAACTGTTGGGAGATGATGGAGAGGGAGGCAAAGAGTTTTCACAGGCTCCCAGAGTCAGGCTGAGGAGCCCCGGAAAGTGCCTCTGCAGCAGAGAGTGGGCAGTCAGGGAGGCTGTGGGGCCGCCATCCAGGGAGAGCACTGGGGCCAGGCTGCCCGTCCCCACTATCTCTAGGACACGTTGACTCAAGGGGGGCACCCTGAGAGGCTGGCCTGCGCCATGGGTCGATGCAGGGGCTGATGTGGACCCCGAGACACCGTGCTCGCTGACCACGGCGAGCTGTACACGGCTCACACCGTCTGGACCCTATAAGTTAAAAGCAAGAGCAAAGCAAAACAGAGCCACGAGTCGTGTGGAGCTGTCGGTGGGCAGCTGTGTCCCGGCCCTGCGGAGGGTCTGGAGTGGATACGCCCACAGGGGACCAGTTTGACAGGCTGGACCAGGCCTGACTCCCGGAGTCCGCCTTCCAAAGAGGGACGGGAAGCAGGAGGTCTTCCCGATGGAGGGGAACGGAGGTCCGGGTGGGAGGAAGGGACCCGGGCGAAGGCTAGGAGGCGGGACGCTCAGGGCACGTCGGGAGGTAGCGGAAAAGGCCACGCCCACCCAACCAGACCCACGCTCACCTCAGCCACGGGAGGCCTTTTGGGGTAAGTGCCCCCACACCGCCCAGCCCGCCTCTCGCGGGACTCACCCGCCTGCCCCTCGCGCGTTGCCCTGGCGACGCCGCCCTGGCCAATCACGGGTCCGCTCCGAAGGCACCGCCCCCTCCCCTCGGACTACGTTTTCCATGAGCCTCAACAAGGAAGGACAGGGGCGGCCTCTGACAGCCGATGCTCCTTTTCGGAGGCCTCTCACGACTGAGAGGCGCCACGTTCCTCCGGAGGAATCTGCGGAGTCTCAGGGTTTCGGGTGGCTCCCTCCTCTCACCAGCAGCCGCCTTTCTTTTGCATCCAGGCCCTAAGACTCACCAATGGCCGAGACGGACGGTACCTTCGAATCCTGCGCATGTGCACAGCAGGACCGGCGCCTATTGGCAAGCGAGGTGAGGGGTAGAGAGGAGCGTGACCTTTTGGCCAATCAAAGCTGGCACTCCGCCCAGGCTCCTCCTCCAGAGCCCTTCTTGAGGCTTCTCTCTTGTCGCCCAGCCGTCGCCTTGGTAACCCCTCGGCGCATAGCTGCCCCCACCTCCCGCTGTTTCCACGGCAACAGCTAGTGTGTTGCTCTGCCTTCCTTGAAGGCCGGAAGTGATGGCCTGCGGGAGCATAGGTCCGCCGAGACTCTCCTCCAGGTGGTCCCTGGAAGAAGAGGGGACCGGCCGGGAAGGCTTGCCTAACCCATGGCTTCCTCCACCACCCGCGGGAATTTCTCCAGCGAAGATTGCGGTGGGGTCCTTCATTCGACCACCGCTGAGCGCCCTGCGGACATACGGGGACAGCAGGCACCCTGGTGGGCACCCACCTACTGATGAGTAAACTGTCCCACGATTTATACCCTCAGAGTCTCAGACAGGCCTTTAGCTAGATCAGTACTTCAAAGCGAGGGATGGAGATTACTGTTCACCTTTTATTTCTCACTTTGGGGACCAGAACTAGTAAGGGTGGCCTGTATTTTTATTTTACTTCAATAGGGAATGTTACTGCTTTTAAATTCTGACCGTGGGTCAAGGTGTTTTGCTTCTACACATCAAGTGGCTGAACCATGATTTATTTATTCGATTCTAAATTGCGTCTGCCTGTCTTAGTTTCTTCTCATACCTAGGAACCCCCAGCTCCCAGCTCCCAGTGAAGAGCAGTGGTCTTAAACATTTATTGGAAGCTCTAAGCATGTGCGTGGCTGGGGCTTGCCAGCTCTTCCCAGTAGGGATCAGATTGGGCTGTTGTGTAGGGGCTCAGTATTTAGCTTTCCCCAAATCAGTGACAGTTCTCACATCTCCATCCACTTCTAGCTTTAGAATGCTGTTGCTTCCTCCTTCACCATCCTCATACTTGTGGGTTTGTTTCACACTCTCCTGTGGTTTCAGTGGGTTTCTGTACTACATGAGATGCATGTGTTCAGTCCATCATTTTGACCAAGAAAAGCCCAGGGACACTTTAATTGTCACGACCTGTTTGAGGTTGAGTAGAGGCCAGCTTGGCAGGATGTGGGCCAGCATGGCCACAGAGGTTTGGGAGAGGGCAACACAGGAGCTAATACATGGGGGCAGACAGGTGCTCATGGTTGCTATTCCCATAGAAACAGGGGAGGAGGCACTGATCAGCCCTAGGTGCTGGGAAGGTGGAGGAACCGAGGGATAGCAGGAACCAAGCACACAGGAAGAAGTCAATGAAGTGGGGAGGAAGCTGGTGGACAGCCAAAATAGGGCATCAGGCCCAGCGTGAGGGGTCAGCAGGGCTCAGGGTGGAAACCAGGCTCCAGGAGCTTTTGTGCAGGATACAGACAAGGTTGCCTGTGGCTCTGGGTGCCCACTTGCTTCTCAACAGACTCCATTGCTTCTGAATTCCATGCGCTCCCTACTAGAGCCCCATCTGAAGGGTCTGTCTGCATTTCACAGTGCACACTGACGCTGCCGTGACCTGCTCCAGGCTCCCTCATGCAGGCCACCCTGCGGGAAGGTGAGGTAGGGGAGAGGCCAGGACATGGACAGTGGCTCAGTCTTGGTGAGTCTGGCGCTGAGTAACTCCTCTTCCCACCCCCACATCCCCCCTCCTTGCAGGAACTTGTGAGGTTTCAGGGGTGGAACCCTGCTGGCAGGCAGGGAGTCGGGGGCATCTTGTCTGCGCTTTGGTAATGGCAGATGGCTGCGAGGTCTGGATTCCCCAGCCTGGATCCACAACAGTTCATCTCCTAGCACAGCTGCTGCTTGGGGCAGCCCAGCTCCCACCTCTGAATGCCCAGTGGACACAGGTGTCCCAGCCCCAGTGGGCCACAGCCGGCTGCATCTCTACCCTGTGGCTAAACCCAGGTCCCTGCAGCTGTGTGATGACATGTCTGCACTGGGCTAGGATGAAACAGGCATTGGGCTACTGCCTCCATATTGTTTTTAAAAAGAAACCTTTATTAGTGAGCCTCTCTGAACCATGACCTGGCGGCTGGGGAAGGGAGGCTGAGGCTGTGAGCTACACAGTGCTGTGCAAGAATTTACGATGTACATTCATTCCAAGCTGTAACTTCTAATCTTTTTCTCCCCCTGGCAAAAAAGACCATGAACCTCCCTGGGCGCGAAGCCCAAGGTCAAGATGGGCTCTGGATTGTTGAAGGTCACAGGAAGCAGATCAGGCCCCACCCTACTTGTCTGCCTCAGTGCCCAGACCATGTGGGGGTATCACACTGAGGAGGGGATTTGGGGGGCACCACACAGCCTCAGGTAATGGCAAGTCCTAAAGAACAGATGGGCACGTGGCCACTGGACTCCACAGATCGAAGCAGCCCCGCCTCGTCTCCTTTGAACCTGCTGCTGTGCTCAGTCCTCATCAGGGCAGCGGGAAGGATACTGTACCACTGACTTTAGTAACAGGACCGCAACGTGAATGAACAGGCAGAGCTGCGGAGCCATCACTATCTGTGTCTCCTTCTCTCCGCCCTGACCTCCCACCTCCACCTCTTCCACCTCCTGAGCTTGCCTTGCACAGGGAGCCAGGCCAGGCTCCACCCGGCCCTCACAGCTGGCAGGTGTGCGGGGGCAGTCATTAGTCTGGACCCTGGGCCAGTGGCTCTGCTGTGTGCAATTCGTGCCCCTCTCTGTGCCTGTTTCCCCATCTGAGAAGCAGGGAGACAGCCACAGCAGCCACCTCACAGGGCCATTAAGAGAAATCTCCTAGCTTCAGAACAGGGGCTGGCAGTTGACACATACTGGCCCTTCTCAAGATCCTGCCTGTCAGGGAGCTTCAGACATCCTCTGCAGGCCTGTAAATCTGTACTCTCTTCCCAAGGAGGAAGCTGAAGCTCAGAGCCCAGCCACCCGTCCAAAGCCAGCAGCCAACCCCACATAGCCTCCTGTCCACTGGGCCTGCTTCCAGGAAACCTTGGATAAACCGAGGCTTGCGAGGTGGGGGTCGGGGGTTTACACATAAACTGTTGGGTTTGTCTCAAGACCACCTCCGTCTCACCGCCTCCCTCCCCCTTGGTGTCCACAGTCATGATAACATGAGAACTGGCACTGCCATGCTGCCCGCCCACTAGTCCCGCCAGGTCCGAGCCTCCATGTCTACCCCCCAACCTTTCTGCAGTGTGACCTCTTGGGGATGGAGGAGTGAGCGGTGGCTAACAAGTGGCAAATCTAGCCACCACATGCGGGTAGAACCACAGTGCATGTGAAGGGCTTCTCCAAACCATGGATTTGCAGGGGACAGGGCCCTGGAGACATGCAAAGGGCTCAGGATAGGCTGGGAAAGGTCGGGGTGGCGGCCTCAAGCCTCAGCCGTCTTTGGAAACGTGGCTGGGCCCGAGGCAGCAGTAGGCCCAGCTTCCCTCCCCATTGCGCCCTCTGAAGGAGCTCCCGAAGGAGGTCTGGCCAGGGAGCGTGGGCTGGCCCTCGGCCTCCGCACAGGCTTCTCGCCAGTGTGGAGCCTCTGGTGGTGGAAGAGGGCTGGGCGCTCGCGGAAGGCACGGCCGCACTGTGCGCACACGAAGGGCTTCTCGCCCGTGTGGATGCGCCGGTGGCTGAGCAGCACAGCGCCCTTGGCAAAAGCCTTGCCACAGTCTGTGCAGCGGAAGGGCCGTTCACCCGTGTGCAGCAGCCTGTGCTGCCTGAGGTTGGAGCTGTGACTGAAGGCGCGGCCACACTGTGCGCAGGCGAAGGGCTTCTCGCCGGTGTGCACGCGCCGGTGCTTGAAGAGCGAGGAGCCCTGGCTGAAGGCAGCGCCGCAGAGCGCGCAGGCGAAGGGCTTCTCGCCGGTGTGCGTGCGCTCGTGCTGGATCAGGTGTGAGTTGCGGCAGAAGCTGCGGCCGCAACGTGCGCAGGCGTAGGGCCGGCCCCCTGCGTGGATCTTGCGGTGCTGGCTGAGGTTGGAGCGATGGCTGAAGGCCTTACCGCACTCAGCGCATCGGAAGGCCTTCTCCGCCGTGTGGATGCGCTGGTGCCGTACCAGCGAGGAGCTGTGCCGGAAGGCCTGGCCGCAGGCTGGGCAGGTGTAGGGAGTCTCACCGCTGTGGATGCGCTGATGCTGCGTCAGGTGTGATGTCTGGCTGAAGGCCTTGCCGCACTGTGCGCACTCATAGGGCCGCTCCCCGGTGTGAGTGCGCAGGTGCTTCAGGAGGTCCGAGCTCTTCACGAACACCTTGCTGCATGCACGGCACTCGAAGGGCTTCTCCCCGGGGAGCAGGCCGGGGCTAGCGTGCAGAGCCTCGCCCAGTTCCGCCCAGGTCTTGGGCTCAGGGCCGGTGGGCAGTCTCCGGGGCTCCGGCCAGGCCACACCCATTCCTTGTCCCCCTGGGGCATCTGGGACAGTTGGGCAGGCTCTCCCAGTGGTCTCCTGTGCAAACGGCTTCTGCCGCTCGGACACCCTTGGCAGCTTGTCTGGCGTGGGGTGATCTGCAAAGGCCTTCTCCCTGGATGGGGCCCGCAGAGAAGGGGTCAGCCGCAGGCTTACACTGGCCTCGCTGCTGCCAGGGCCTAGCCGGAGCCTTTCCCAGTAGATCACAGACACCCCCGTGGGTTTCCTCTCCCGAGACAGGGAGGTGCAGTGCAGACCCGCCAGGCTTTTTCCCTGCTCGCAGGCACCAGCTGTGGGGAGGACCCTAGTTGGCGCCAGAGGGGGGCCATCCTGGAAGGCCGCTGACAATGCTGCTTCTCCAGAATCACCTCTGTTCTCTACCAGATGATGGGAACCTGAAGGCACAGAAACAGTGGATGCCTGGGTCATCCTGGACAGGAGAGTGTGACCAGGCAGGCCGAGTGGGTGGGCAAGGTGGCCTCCAGGACTGGGTGTGGAAGCTGGAGACAAGAGCAGGACCCAGACACCCTCCCTGTTCATACTGAGCTCACTGCTGTCCTGGGGTGCTCCCTGGGCTGCTTTTGCTTATACTGATGACTACCAAACACTAAAGACTTTCCTCACAAACTCTGTTTGCTAACTGCTTCTACCCTAGTAAGGTCAACCCCACGAGGGCAGCACCAGGAGAGATCTGGTCAAGGCTGTGTCCCCAGTGTCTGGAAGGGGACTGGCCACTCCAAATGCTCAAGAAACGATGAACACCTGAACAAAGGGCCCATACACGGCATAGGAAGGAAAGACAGGGAGGCTCTGAGGCCACACAGCCTGGCTGAGGGTGGGATTCTGAGCAGATCACACCACGGCCCAGGGGTACCCTTGGAGTTCCCCCTTCACAATCAAAGCCAGAGCCTCGAGAAAAGGCTTATGGAGAAAAGAGGATAGAAGGGAGTCGGGTGGGAAGAGGAGCACATCCAGGAAGGAAGGGGTATGGAAGCCAGGCCCCAAACTCACACCGGAGCCCCACTCACCAGGACTGGGCCTCCTCTGGGCGCTCCTGGCCAGGGTCACATCTGTCGCACTGAGAACCCAGGGCTCCTCACCACGCTCGAGCTGGATGACCACATGGGGTCGTGAGACAGACAGTCCTGAGACAGGAGACAAGTGAGTGAGGGGCCAACCTCAGCAGATGGCAGGAGTCAGGGCTTCACAGGACATCAATGTTATCATCAACCAAGGAAACCCAAGGAGGCTCCGCTGGGTGGGGCTCACAGAGAAGCGCAGGGGTTCCTGTGAGGAGACCGTGTTGGCAGCATCAGAAGGGCACAGAGGCAGACAGGGACACTCAGCCAATGGGTGCGTGGTTGCTCATGGGCCACCAGAAGATTAGAGGGCACTGCTGGCAGCCAAGCCAGGCAACAACTGAGCTTCCCATGGGGCCCCAGGGCCTTACCCAGCGAGGCCAGGAGTGCGAAGTTCTCCAGCATCACACGGCGGTACAAGGCCCTCTGGGCTGCATCCAGGAGCCCCCACTCCTCCCGGGAAAAGTACACAGCCACGTCCTCAAAGGCCATCAGGCCCTACAAGAGTTGGGTGATGGACACAATCTAAGCTGTGGCTGTGTGACCCAAGACCCAGTTCCCTGCTTCAATGGCTGCCACCCCTGATGTCTCTCAGATGCTCACTCTCCTCCCCCAAGGCTCTGCAGATAGAACTTTCCTCATCTGTCTGTCTGGCCCCTCCCCGCCACCTTCTCTGTTTAGGTCATAGATGCCACTTTGGCTCCCACTGGCCCCTCTACACAAGGCATCCAGAGCAAGCCCCTGGCCTTCAGCTGCTGCCACCTAAGGGCGGCAACAGGCATCCACTCATTCTCCAGCCCTTGCACAACCTGACCCTCCCCACAGGCGCCCTCATCGCTCTTGCAGTAACTGTACAGATCCTGGCTATGGGGCCCCCAGGTCAGGCCATCCCTGTAGGGATACCCTCTCATGCTGAACTTGCCTGACATTTCAAGGCTATTCTTCCAACCCCAAAGGGCTGATCCCCTCCAGTCGCCACAGGGGTGGCCCTAAGGATCTGGTGGGCACACAAGAAGCCATTTTCCGCATCCCTCCGTGGCCAGGCCCCCCTCTATTTCCTTCTCTAGGGTTGTCTGCTCCGTCTCCTTCCCTCAGCCACCTGCTAGACTTCCCCTGACAGTCCCAGGGACCACCAGCCATTCCTCATCTCCCTGGAGTCCTAACTGCCCATGCCCGTCCCTGGCTGAGTCCGTGAGATCCTCCCCAACCCCCACCCGCCTAAGGTTGATTCCCAGGCCCTGCCTCATTCAGGATACCAGGACTCTCTTTGGACATCTACAATTCCAGGTCCATGTGATACCGCAGACTCTTTCCAATTTCCCCCTGAAATCTACTTTCCCTTCAAATTTCTGGTTTTGTTTACAGCTCCGTTCTTCTCGGTGCTCAGGTGGAAAACCTTAAGGACACTCACTCACACCCCAAACTTGATGCACCAAGAGACCTGTCCAGATTCCAACGGCTTTTCCCATCTCCACTGCCCGGGCTGTGGCAGTAGCCTCCTGCCTGCACACCGCCACTCCCCTCTGCGTCTGCCCTCCACTCAGCAAACGGCTGGATACTTAAAAAAACAAAAGTAACTTAAAGCATGCCCAGTTTCCAGGTGCCCTCGAAATAGTCTTAACTCCCAGGGCTGCTGTTTCAGGCATAATTATTCTCTCCCTGTCGAGCAGCTCAGTTCCGAAAGCGCCTACATCCAGGCTTCCCACCCAGCTTTTGTACACAGGGACCCTCCCCTTGGAACTTCCTTCCACACCTCATCCCTTGGCTACCGGGAAGTGAGAATCCCACGCGTGCACGCCCAACCGTCCTGAACACCGATGCCTAGAACGAAGCGCGAGGGGAAGACGTCCAGGTAAACTGCTTCCCTTGGTCAGGGCTCGGGTCCATTGAGGAGGCATCCAGCGGGTGGGGGCCTGGGGCTCCCTCTACTCACCTGCACTGGGTCTGTCTGCGCCGCTACCGCCATCGGAACCTACAGGAAAGAGCGGGCACCTCCGCGCCGGGCCTCAGTCTCCCCGTCCGTCAAGGGCGCTGCGTCTGGGCGGCTTGGAGGCCGCAGAGCACGTGGCTCGGGGAACGCCCACGCCGCTCCCGGGGAAACCGAGGCCGGGAGCAGGCCGTGGGCGTCTCCGCCCCCGCGTCCTCGCCGCCCGCACCTTGGGGCTCCAGACTCTCCTGCACAACCCGCCCAGACCCGGCGCGCTCCGGCCGTCACCGGCGTGGCCCGACGCCGGCAGCCAAGTGACAGTCCCAGGCGCCGGAAGTCTGATCCCACAAGCCCTCATTGGCCCGCGGTGCGAGACGGACGCATGCGCAGAGCCTCCTGGGAGGCGTGGCTCCCTCCTGCCTTCCGGCGCAGTAGGCGGATACCTTCCGGTCTCCACGGCAACGGCCAAGCGCCGCCGCGGTGGGCGCTGGGAAGTGGAGGCCGCGGCCGTGCCGTGCTTCCGGGCTGCCCGTGGGTGGGGTCCCCGTGGGGCAGCGGGCTCAAGCGGGTAAACGGTGACGGTGCAGAGACGGAACTACTGAGGCCCCGGAGGCCCCAGCGCAGCACCGAAGACAAAGCCGGCCGGGGTTCCCATCACAGCTCCGCCTCCTGGGGCCTTGAGCCGGGGCGGGGTTTCACCCTCGCGGTCAGCGTCCCCGAAAGGTGAATATCGACCCCAAAGCGGGAGTCAGAATCCCCTATCCTGTTTTCCAGCGCAGCTGGACCGCGCAGAACGGACGTTCCCAGACTTGCTTGTCCCTAGATCATCGCACGTCGTGATACTGATTCCTTGTTTCTCTTTGGGGGGACCAACCTATGTGTGTGGGACACATAAAACCAAAAGTAAGGGCAGTCTCAACGCAGGCTGAGTACTGCTGACAGGGAACAAAATGTTTTCCCTTTGCTGTTCCACTCTGAGGGTCTTTTTTTTCCAGTGCCCTTAGTTCACATACATAAAATGGGACTATAGTGGTACCTACCGCATACGGCCGTTGGAAGGTAGTATGGAACTAGTCTCTGTCAAGTTTATTCATTCTTTCTGTCTCCCTTCCTGTGTAAACTCCCCAAATAAGTTATAGATGATCGTTATAGCACCTGTGTCAGCTATAACTGTCTGTAGTATTTTTTAAATAGATTTTATTTTTTTAGCGCAGTTCCCGGTTTTCAGAATTGAGCAGAAAATACAGAGTTCACACATAGCCCTCCCCACCCTGTCTGTAGTATTAACACTATTTGTAAATCCTTGTAATGCAAGAGAGAACATCAGTTTTAGAGTATTTGCGTGTAAATTCTGCTCACTTAGAAATAATTTAAGAAAATCTAATGTATTCATAGGGAATATTTGATAGAGAATGTATTTGATGGGGTTTCCTGCAATTCCAGTAAACAAAGGATGTTGCCTGCCATCCCAGGTTTACAGTGATCAAGCTATCAGCCTCAGAAGAGGATCACCCTGAGGGGAGTTCAGGGTGAAAAAAAACGGGAAGCACTCTGTGCTTCGGATATTGAGCTTAGATAGTTAAGATGCACATCTAAAGAATAAATTCAATGACCCCAGACTCTGGCATCTTCCCTTACATAGAAAAGCACTAAAATCATTAACTTGAGGTGTCTGTTCTTTGTGACTGGCATAATCTTTTGATGTTCAACTACGTTTAGTTTTCGTTTTTCCAGTAAAAAAAGCCTGCTGGGAGCCATTCCACCAATGTCGATACCCCTTGACAAAGTCAGGGCAAAACGGCCGTGCAGATTGCAAAGCAGTCTCACTCTGGAAAATACTGACATTTCCTTACGTTATTCATAGTGCCTATAATTGGATTGGGGATATCTTTGGGGTACATGGGCTTTTTGAAAATTGTACAGGATGATTCTCAATCTGGGGAAATAATAGGGGCTATGATGATGACTGTGCAGGACAATTCAAACAATGGAATTTCAATGAAAGTACTTGGAAATAAATCAAAACATCAGGGCCCCCATGGTGTGTCATGCCTCAAGCCCTAAAGACAACGTGCGCCATTAGTTCTGTAAGAAACGTAAGATAGATATCTCTAGGTTGACTGCTTTCCTTGCAGGTAATAGGAACAATAATCAGCCCACTGTTGGGTTCCAGGCGCCAGTGGGTTGGGACCGTGACCTTTTCTTTTTGTGCTTGTTTCTGTGAGATAGTCTTTGGTTAGGAGCTGTTCTTAGGGATGGAATTGAAAATGGGTTAAGGGGTAATGATTAACTAAGTATAAGGCTAAGGGGTAATTTAAAAAATCATCAGGGTGATGACGTTCAGCCAAGTCGAAAAAGCGCCGTGACCACATCCTGGGTATGGAAAAGGGTTAACAATGTAAACAATAAAGATGTAAGAGTCAACTTGGCCACAATGTGAAATCACCTGTTTGATAAAATTGTATAAATACCACAAATAAAGAAAGCCTTGCAGAGTTGCCTGCATGGTGATCAAACCTTGACTGGCTCTCTCACACTTCTGCCGACACCGTCCATCCCTGGGTACTCCTGGACCTGCTGGAGCGGGACTCCGGCAAAAGCCCTTTCCTGGCTTCTCCCCTACCTCTTTGGAGCAATTCCTTGGAGCTATCTGAGAGGCTGTCTCCTGGGCTATAGTTCTCAGTAAGGTCCCTGAATAAAACCCTACTCACAACTTTTAGATTGTGAGTTTTTCTTCAAGTGCCTCTTGGAGGCAAGCCTGGAGGATGGTATTTGGGAAACCTTAAGTCCTTTACTTCCAGTAGGCCCAGAAAGTCCCAGGGGAGGATTCATGCTAGGACTTTCTCCTGAGGGCCATGGGAGCTGAGATGTGTGAATAGAAGAGTGACCTGATCTGACGTGACAAGTACCCCCTTGGTTTCCGAGTGGAGAAGTGATGGCGGGGGGCGGGGGGAGCTGGGCAGAGTTGAGCCTAGGATGGAGATGCGGGGTAATGATCACAGATGCAGTTGAAAGGAGGCTTGGCTTCCTATAGATTTGATGTTTCCAGTTGCTTTTTGCCCGCTGTCCCTCTGGCTGCTATGTGCAGAGGGGGTCTCTAAGAAGGCTGGGGAAAGAGCATTAGAACAGATGTGGCAGGTCCCCAGGATGCAAAAGGACTGTCCATAACCCCTCAGGGCCAGCATGAGGCCCAGTGTGGGGTAAGCGCCCGGGTGTGTCTCAGATGTGAAGTCCTGGGGAAACTGGGAGAGCATTTGGTTGGTCAAGTGTACTGGGGCCAGAGTCTAGAGAAAATATTGGGGAGGTGATCATTAAGACAGGGGCTAGGGGCCTGGTTCACACACTTAGAATTTAGACCATAGTCAACTGCCCACCTGCCCATTGTTGCAGGGCCTGGTGACCTTTGATGACATGGCTGTGTGCTTCTGTCAGGAGTGGGGGTCTTTGAGGGACCAGAGGGGCCTCTTCCATGATATCTCTGAGGACATTCTTAGGTTCCCTGGCGCGGGGGGTTGTCTTTGGACTTGGGGCTGGGCTCCAGGCTTTCCTTGCTAGCCACAGTCATGTGTGATGAGAGCTAAGTGTATTTCACTCCTCCCAGTGGGTCTGCCTGTTGAGCCCACTGGGATGGACGAAGACCCCTCTGCATCTAAATTCTACTAACCTGACTCCAGCCAAAGATTCTGGAGGCTGTCCTTTGCCAAGCACTCTATACTTTCATGGTCATCGTCTAGGGGACCAATGATGCTATTTCTGCCAAACTTTCTTTGGATGCCACTGTTCACGGCAGCATCATTCACTAAAAAGGTGGAAGCAACCCAAGAATCCATCAACCAGTGAATGGCCAACCAAAATGTGCTGTCTGCGCACAGTGGAGTATTACTCACCTATTGAATGATACATGTTATAATGTGGATGAACCTTGAAAACATTATGCTATGTGAAATCACCCAGACACAGAAGGACACATACTGTATGATTCCACTTAAATGAAATCACAAGAACAGGCAACTTCATAGAGATCGAAAGTAGATTAGCCTTTACCAGGGGCTGGGGGGGCAGGGGTACAGGGAACTATATCTTGATGAATACAGAGTTCCTGTTTGGAGTAAAAGTTTTGGAAATAGATAGTGGTGATGGTTGTACATCATTGTGAATGTAATTAATACACTGAATTGTACACTTAAAATGGCAAACTTCATGTTATATATGATTTACCACAATTAAAAAAAATAGTGGTAATTAAAATCTAAAATTACTCCCTGCCTTAAAAAAAATGCTTTACATTCCTCTGCTATCTGAACATTAAATGTCAGTGAAAAATAAATTTCAGAACCCCAGAGGCTTCTCCCTGCTGGGGGAGGGTCCTTGCATGGACTCCCCTGTCCTTCAGCTGTTTCTGGTGTTACTGGAGGCTCAAAAAAAAAAGGTCAAAAGAGGAACTGGGAGTTGCAACCACAGAAGCAAGAAGTTGCAGTGATGGGAGGAAGGGGTCGTGAATGCACCAAGGCAAGCACGCTGCTGCTAGAAGCTGGAAAAGGCATGGAAACGGATTCTCCTCCAACACTCAGAAGGAACCAGCTGTGCAAACATTGGGATTTTGGCCTAGCAAAGTTAATTTCTCACATCTCTGAAGATCTGGGGCCCTGGTGTCCCAATTTCCACAGCTTGGATCTCTGGTCCCAGCAGCGGTGAGACAGGAAGGGGGCAGGGCACAGCCACTCAAATAATGATAACAGCAATTAACATCAAAATGGTGGAATATTGAACACTCAATAGGACTTGAGACTCAAGATGGTGGGAGATTTGACTTCTAGTAGACCTTAAACTTCATTATACGCCCACTGTAATAAATTAACATGGTAAATAACATGCCCACAGGTGCCAATGACAGTCCCAAGGCTAACCATAAAAGTTCAAAGAGTGGGAAATGGCCAACTTCCTGGGAATCCCAGCCCCTTTCCCAGGTTAGTTAGACTGGTCTTCCACTTATTAGCATATGAAGCCACTGAGTTCATAAAAACTGGCCACACGGTGCCTAGCAGCTGCTGCCCTCCCTCTCCCCCTTCAGAGATGGCCCACACACTGTCTATGGAGAGTGTACCTACTTTTACTCTAATCTGAGCAACCAACCCTCACACCTCGTGTCCTTTCTCTTGCCTTTCCATGTATCTGTCTAAATAAATCTACATTTACTCAACTGTGGCTCACTCTTGAATTCCTTCCTGCGCGAAGTCAAGTACCCACACTTGGCAGGGCACGTCCCAGGGGCTGAACCAAAGTTTGGGACACCGCCCTTCTCATGCCCCACATCCCATTTTCCTGCA